CTTAGAATATCAGAATCGAATGAGTTACATTTTGTGGATTGGTAAAAACGATATTGATTTTATAAATAGAAAAATTATAAACTTTTCTTTCTTTTATAAATAGTTTATTAGATTTACTATTAATATTAAGTTCAATTACCAAATTAAACAGAAGCTATAAATAGGGGACAAAAGTAGAGTAAATCATTCATATTTGGAAATCCTCGGGTAAGAGTTAAAAGCTGCAAATTTGTTTTCTTCTATTGTTTCTCACGTAATGATAAGTGAGCAACAGTCAATTTTTGGACTTAACACAAGTATTAGAGGTATCGGAAAAATAGACTTGGCTCCGACATCTAGGACGCCTATTGTTTATCTAATACTGCTCTCACTCTCGTCTCATTTTACGTAAACGTGCGTGTTCCCTAGCGTACCGTTATCTTCCGCTGGCAACGTGCCGCGCTGGACCAGGCGGATCTTAATCTCGTGAAAGAAGGAAGCGACCTAAAAAAAGAACGCGCCGGAAGAAAGTCGTCGTTCTCACCGGGGTTACTTATCTCCGGCAATTTATCGCTGGTCGATTCGGCTCGTTCAGCTATTAGGAGGGGACACGTGATCGCGTGGGATTTATGTTGGCCGATGCGATCGTCCGGCTGTTACATTTTTACGATTCCTCTCGACGGCGGAAGATTTAACAAGGTCAATAGCGGATCGTGATCTGGGAAATTCGGGGTCTGTAAAAAAAAATTTGATTTCATCGGGTTGCGAACTTTTACTAATAGCACGAAGCTTGTTCTTATCAATTCTACAATTCTTCGTTTCTTCATGCACGACACGCGTCGTCAAAACCAGAGATGCGCCAACTTGTTGCTTCTACAGTTTTTTCTTTTTATTTATCTACGATTTCTCTTTTAAAAGTAACCGATAATAAAATAATAAAATCCCAAAGATATTGGATAAACGAAAAATAGATTTAAAAGAATATTTAAATACATTTATTAAGTGAAATTAATCATTTATATTTCTATTTTTATTTATTTTTTTTAATACGCCCAAGAGGAAGGCATACGGAAAATAGAAGATAAGCTTTATAATTATTTTTAGAAAATAAATAAAAAGATTTATTATATTTATTTATTTTTCGTGTACATATAATAAAGAAATATACATCTTATTGTCTAAGAATTGTATATCTTATTAGATCTTATAGTTGTGATATTTTGAGATGATACGTAAGCGAGAAGCTTATATTTGAGGTGAGAACCACCTGATTCTAAACCAAACCAAGAGATTATTATCTCTCGCATATGGGAACGGCGTATGCGGACCAACTGATCCGTAGATAAATTTAGCAGATTAGTCGCATTAGCCCGGATTGTTGACCCGTAAGACTTCTATATATACGTTGAACTCCTTCTACGAAAACCTTGATCTTTCAATGAAGGAAGTCATTTATTTTGATTAGTGAATTTATATGTTCATCTTGGTCGCGCGATCGAATTGACGAACAAACGATTTAAAAGGCATTGTTTTATAATAAAGATAGTTTTTACATTAAAACAAAATAACTTGCTTAGAAATAAATTAATTTTTTAATAAAAGATTAATATGAAAAAAAATAAAAGAAAATTGACGAAATTTTTATATATAATAATATCGTGACTACAATAATACGTGTATGAATGTACATATATTTTATTAACTAAATTTTCAGAAAAACTTAATCTGAAACAATCTACATTTAAGTAATTAAGTCGTTTAAGTGTCTTATAAGAATCTTAAAAAAAAAAAACATTAGAATATGTATATCTTTAGAATATGTATATCTTTATTTAGTGCGAGAATTTTCTAAATTTGTAAAAAAATTTTAAAACTTGTATGTTATACCATTGTAACTTGTATGTTGTACCATTTCTTCTTGATTCATTGATATCAATTTTCATTCATTTGCATGCTGTAATAAAACTTGCGGACTTGTCCAACAGTTTGCGACTCGCCAATTTTGTTACGCCGTGGATGCGACCTTTAAATAGACTACAATTATGCGAAAACGATTAACGATCGTTATCGGCGCGGTAATAATTTCCTCCGTGTTGATTACTACTGCAGCCGATTGCGCGCACGCAAAATAGCCACGTTTCTCAACGCACTTTGTTACACCTGTGTTGCAGCTCGATGACACGGCGCTTCAACTGTACAAAGGCGGCGATTATGGCGCTTACCTGGACCTCGAAGCCTCCATAAACGAGCAGCAAGAGGAATTTGAAGGTTTTCACGAAGGTGAAAGGTAAGTTGCTATCAATAATCTATAATGTCACTATTGATGCATTTTGAGAATTTAATAATTATTTCATTATTATGTAAACGAAATTAAACGAAATTAAAAAATGCAGCTCACAACTTACACTTACTATTTCAAAATCTTCATTTTTGCGTTGTCAATTTTATGGTTCTTTCCAAAGTATTTTATACTTGTAATAAATAGATATCTATTTTTGACTTTACAAATAGAATTTCGTAATTTTACCTAAACTGCGTATAATGATAGGGGCCATTTGTGCCCGCTTAATTGCATTCTGGGACAGTTGTTTTCTTGTATGCCACCTAAAGTCAGTCCCTGTTGGGATAGACCTTGTGTCTTTACGAGCCCCTCGCGGTTAAACTTCGGGTAATCACATAGTGGACAACATGAGCGTAGAGTCACCAGAGTAATGAAGGATATTTAGGTGAGAACGAGGTAGTGTGTACACATTTTCTCGACACAGTCGCAAGAGAAAGATCCATGAAATGTCTTGAAAGAAAAACCAATGAAACCCTTCAGATAATCTGCTCCTTAAACGAAAACCCATCTTGAAGTAATGTTACGTTAGATACGTTAGAAAAAGGTACATGAACAGTCTTTATAACTTCGAGTAATTAGCATTAGTTTGTGATCTTCGAGTGATGAATTGAGCGAGATAATTTTCTTCTAAATAGTGCATTCAACGTAAGAAATAGTTATCAAATAGAATTTAAATTCAAGTTGTTGCGATAAAACAAAGGAATAGCTTGCGTTAAGCACGAGTTATTTTATGTGAGTGATCGTTAAAGTATTTTTGTTCGTGAAAAAAAATGTTTAATTGAACGGAATGTATTCATTATATATTCATTCGACTACCGTTTGAAAATAAGAAAAAGCAATATATAGTATAATATTTAAAAAAAATCGAGAAAGTTATGACAATCATATCATAGAAATGATAATTCAAAGATTGATAATTTTTAATAACGGTAATTTTGGAGTCGGAATTTATTTCTCCAATATAATTTTTAAATAGATAGCGGGAATGGCTTTATTATTTTCATCCCATTTTGATAATGAACAATTTAAAGCTTACAAGGTACAGGCATTTTTGAAGCATTATTTTTTAAATATTCTGTTTGTGTATATTTAGCAGCGGCGAGATATTCGAGCATACGAAAAACCAGACGTTGGTTTCCGTCATTGAAAATGCACGGCGGTTTACAGCAGTATATTTGCGGTTTGCGTATCGAATTCACGTTAACGCCGTAAAGGCTAACCGCGCTCGTTAAGTATTAATGCAGGTAAATTCCCTAGAGGAGGGGTGAGATATGTACGGCGTTAAATTTAGTTCCCCTTTGGAAGCTTTGAGATCCGTGTCTTCGGTGACTTTCCATTCTTCTCGAACTTACACGATTGCTTACCCACGTCAAGTGCATAGTGGCGAACAATAGCATCCGAGAAACGCGGAAGCGCGCTATTTTTCCTTTCATTATCTTTTCTCCCCATGCAGATAGATATCTTGCAATCCATTGAAAATTTATCAATTCTATACTTATCAATTCTATCCTGATTTCGAAAGTGGAATAAAAAATAGGAGCAATATGTAGTTTTTGAGGGGCTCCGTGTCGTGTCGTTTTCTACTTCATTTAATTATAAATTTTATTTCTATTGCGCATTATGGTGATCATCGATTTATTTTAAAATTAATGATTTATAATAATAATTCTTTTTTATTTATATGTCTTTAACTTGAACTTGGTTATTTATAATTAATTTCAAAGGGAAGTAGAGAGATCGAGGAAGGATTAAGAAAGATTGTTTCGTGTATGTTACGTAATTTTGCAATGAATGTAATTTATCATATATTATTTATTTGTAAAGAAAAGCACATTGTTTGTGAATATTTAAATTTCAGAATCAATTTCGAATCAGAATCAAAATCAATTTTCTTTGATACACGTGAGTGTTACATGGGATGTGATCATGTGCCTCGCAACCTTCATTTTCGTAGCGATTGGTCAAGACCAGAATGGTACACACGCACGTTTGAAACAAGATCGCTTCCAGTCCATTAATCGGCATCACTGCGTCGGTGTGCCCTCGCATGCACCACCTTCAATCGGATTGCATTTCGCCAGTCGTTGCGCGTTCAAAGGCACGTTCGCGCGAAACGTCGAATAAACGCGAGGCAGCCGAAATGAGAGGAAAGGTGAGGAAGCAGGAGGATTGGTATCGCTCGGACATGATTTCGGGGGAGACGAGGCCGAGAGTAGGGGATGGGAGTTAAATAAATGTTTGCCCGCAGAGATATGCGTTCCAATATTTGAAACTCCGGAATTTCCGCGAACCGCAAAATGACATCATACGTTTACCGCACTCTCGTCCCTTTCTCCATTTGTTCGTCCCATATGTGTGATTTGATTTTTCCTTCTTTCCGGTACACGGTACGCCATCTCCAAATTCATATAAGTTCCAGACACGCTTGTGCACGATGAATTGAAATGAAAACTGGCTTATCCCGTGGTGCAACGCAATATTGATCATATTAAAGAAATTTATTGTTTAAATTATGGTTTTTTTTTTTGACTTTATGAAATTTAAGAGACAATCCAAAAAGCCAGTTCACAGTATTATTTATAATTGCATGCCAAAATAATAATAATATTGCTAATAATAATAAAAATAGAACTTTTTAAATTACAGTAAGTTTTATTTGTTTTACAATGTTTTGCATTTTTTCATACTTTTCAATTTTTTGTAAAAGACTTTTATTTTTTTTCAAACCATTACGTAATAGAATTTTAGAAAACGTAGTAATACCTCTGAAACTTTTTAAAGAAGTTGCAAAAATATTATCAATAATAATTTTGGAAACAATAAAACGATAATAATGAAATTTGAAAAGACCGATAATAATTTCATTTTCTTACAATATTATTTTCGTTAATGGTTCTTTGAAAATTTAGGCTTTGTCTCAGCTGGTTCTGATTGGCGATAGCTCATAAAGTGCTAAATTATACGGCCGTACCCAGCTGCGGTCTCCATGGCGAATCACCTATCATTACAATAGCAAGCGACGACAAGCAAAATTCCTTGCCACCCATAGCGTTTGATTTAGATCACGAGAGAAAATCGTTCGTAACAATCGTTTCGCGTAATAATTATCTTGCCCAGTTAACATGGTGGAATGGTACGCATAAAAGTCGAATGATGAAACATAAGAAGAACACAGTTTCTATAAATTCGCAAATCTAGCATCTGCAATCGCATCTAAAATATTGCAGAT